ATATATATATATATATATATACACAGTTGTGCATACAGGTGCTGGTCATAAAATTAGAATATCATGAAAAAGTTTATTTATTTCAGTAATTCCATTCAAATAGTGAAACTTGTATATTATATTCATTCAGTACACACAGACTGATATACTGTCTTTCAAATCTTTATTTCATTTAATGTTTATGATTATAACTGACAACTAATGAAAACCACAAATTCAGAATCTCAGAAAATTAGAATATTACCAATAAAAAAAAGGATATTTAGAAATGTTGGCCGACTGAAAAGTATGATCATGAAAAGTATGAGCATGTACAGTACTCAATACTTAGTCGGGGCTCCTTTTGCCTGGATTACTGCAGACAGCTGCGTTGACCTTGGACCTTAGAAAACACAGTGGACCAACACCAGCAAATGACATGGGCCCCAAACCATCACTGACTGTGGAAACTTGACACTGGACCTCAAGCAACATGGATTCTGTGCCTCTCCTCTCTTCCTCCAGACTCTGGGACCTTGATTTTCAAAGGAAATGTAAAAAGTATTTTCATCAGAGAACTTTGGACATGTCATCTGCTGGTGTTGGTCCACTGTGTTTTCTGAGGTCCAAGGTCAACACAGCATCTACCAGGAAGTTTTAGAGCACTTCATGCTTCCTGCTGACCAACTTTATGGAGATACAGATTTCGTTTTCAACAGGACTTGGCACCTGCACACAGTGCCAAAGCTACCAGTACCTGGTTTAAGGACCATGGTCTCCCTGTTCTTAATTGGTCAGTAAACTCACCTGACCTTAACCTCATAGAAAATCTATGGTGTATTGTGAAGAGGAAGATGTGTTACACCAGACCCAACAATTCAGAAGAGCTGAAGGCCACTATCAGAGCAACCTGGGCTCTCATAACACCTGAGCAGTGACAGACTGATCCACTCCATGCCACACCACATTGCCACAGTAATCCAGGCTAAAGGAGCAACTGCTGTACATACTCGCACTATTCATTTGGCCAACATTTATAAAAATCCTTTAATTGGTCTTAATATTAGAATTTTGAGATTCTGAATTTGGGGTTTTCATTAGTTGTCAGTTAAATCAATATTAAAAGAAATAAAACATTTGAGATATATCAGCACCTGTACATCCATTTTGTGAAATATTCAGGAGACAAATCAACACCTCATCCAGTTAATGGACATTTAACACCATCCAAGCCACATCACAAGATTGTAATTACCTGCAACACATCACAAGCCTTCAGTAATTGTAGTAGCTTATTACTTCCCTGAGTTTTAGAATCTGAATCTTTAGAGCAGTAACATTTTCAGCTGAAAACCAAACATCAGCAGCTAAACTTAATTAATAGTAAGCCTATCATGCAACAGCCTACAGAACACCTTTCATGCTCCAGATGATGACAGCTGCATCTTTTACTTTTCTTTTCCCTAAACTGGACACCTGGTGGCTTCGACCAGTTCTTGTCCATTGGGGGCTGAGATGGGGTAGAAGTAGGGCAGCCGATCTGGCCCAGGTTTGATTCCCAGCCATTTCCACGTTGTGGTGTCTGAGCAAGACACAAGTGCTCCCAGGGTGCCCACATACATGCCCACTGCTCCACCTGGGTGTATCTCAGGTGTGATGGGTTAAATGCAGAGAATTTGTTGAGAAACATCAACAACAACAACAAAAAAACGTGCAGATCACCTGACAGAACCTGGTTGGATTTTTTTTCACCTGGATTACTGAGCATGAACCTTGATGCAGGGAACTCATTTCATCATTGTATGGGAACATACAACATGTGTTGTAATGAAGCACAGGAACCGTGAGCGTTTTGTAAATAACATTTTATTCAGAAACAGGGGTCAGGCTGTGCGTTTTGTTTAGCTGCTGCCCTGTTTGGCGGCCAGCCTCTTGTCTCTCTCCTCGGCGATGGTCAGACGGATTCCCTTTCCTCTGGGCAAGGACACCCACGGCTTGTTGCCCTGGAAACCAGCAGGAGACATTAATTACTTGATGTCCAAAGAAGAATGGTTAGGATCTGCCACTTGTCTGTGAAATATTTCGATTTCATATTTTGTTTCAGTCATTTCAACACATTTCAATGCTCTTTGAAATGTGTTCATAAAAAGTGAACATCTGTTAAATCAGTGATCAAATACAACCAAGTCTGACACCTTGTTGCTGGCACTGTAAAACAGGCAACAAACGAGATCAACTTTTATCATGCTTTTACATCTCTTTGTTGAAGCCTGCAGAATAACCTCTAATAGTTGACGTTATTAACGGACTATTTATGAACGACTGAAACGTTTGATTTGTGTATAAACTACAAATAATCAGCACTTCACCTTGTTTTTACATTTTGTCTTGTTAGTCTTATTCCAAATTGTATTAAATTCTACAGACAATAGCCCATTATGGCAATGTGAAAAAACATTTTGAGATTTTTGCACATTTATTAAAAATATAAAACTAAGAAATCACATGAACATAAGTATTCACAGCTGTTGTTTAATACTTTGTTGATCCACCTTTGGCAGCAATCACAGCCTCAAGTCTTTTTGAATTTGATGCTTCAAGCTTAGCACACCTGTCTTTAGATAGTTTGCTCCACTCTTCTTTGCAGTACTTCTCATATTCCATCAGGGTGGATGAGAAACGTCTGTGCAGCCATTTTCAGGTATCTCCAGATGTTCAATCAGATTTAAGTCTGGACTCTGGCTTGGTCCCTTCACAGAGCAGGTCTGAAGCCCCTCTGAGATCTTGGCTGGGTGCTTTGGGTCAGTGTCCTGCTGAAAAATGAACGGTCGCCCCAGTCTGAGGTCAAGAGTGCTCTGGAGCAGGTTTTCATCCAGGATGTCTCTGTACATCATTGCATTCATCTGTCCTCTATCCTCACTAGTCTGCCAGTTCCTGCTGCTGAAAAACATTCCCACAGCATGATGCTGCCACCACCATGCTTCACTGTAGGCCTGGTGATGAGTGAGGCCTGATTTCCTCCTGACACCTGCCATTCACACCAAAGAGTTCAATCTTTGTTTCATGAGACCAGTTTTGTTTCTCCTGGTCTGAGTCCTTCAGGTCTTTCTGTCAAACTCCAGACGGGCTGACGTGTACCTTTTATTAACGAGGGACTTTTGTCTGCCACTCTACCATACAGGCCCAGTGCTTCCCCTACCATTATACAAGTGGGGCGCCCCGTCAACAGAACAGAGCGCCTTGTCTACTGAACCCCACTCCCCACCCCCAAACCCACCCACCTGTCAGCACTGACGTAACGCTAAACTAGCGGCTCGCAATGCAGGTGCACTAGATAAAAAGCTAAAGGCAGCCGCCTCTTTCATGTTGAACCCTCACGCTGAACGCACCCCCGCCACTTGAAAACTGTCGGTACAAACAGCGCACGGCTCAGATGTGCGTTACTCTCCCCCCGCTGACCCCCCCACGCGGCTGAGATGTGTCCGTCTCTCTCCTCTCACACACCCTGCTCTAAAACTGTTGGTTCAAACAGCGCGCTGCGCAGCTTAGGACGTGTCCCCCCCTCCCCTGACAAAAATCACGGGACGAGATGAACGCCCCGCTATGGCAAGTTATCTAGGGGAAACACTGCTAAGCTAACAGCACAAAATAAACGATGTTAGCTAAAAAGATAAAGGCAGTGCCTCTTCCCTCACCCACCCAAAACTGTTTGTACAAATCAGTTCAGACGTCCACCCCTCCACCCCCCCTCAAACACACACCATGGCAAGATATCTAGGGGAAATACTGAAGCCTGACTGGTTGATTGCTGAAGATGGTTGTCCTTCTGGAAGGTTCTCCTCTCTCCACAGACGAACGCTGGAGCTCTGACAGAGTGACCCTCGGGTTCACCTCCCTGATTAAGGCCCTTCTCCCAATCGCTCAGTTCAGACAGTCGGCCAGCTCTAAGAAGAGTCCTGTTGGTTCCAAACTTCGTTCATTCACGATTGAAGGTCGTCACTGGGCTCATTGGGACCTTCAAAGATGCAGTTTTTTTTTTCTGTATCCTTCCACAGATTTGTTCCTCAACAGAATCCTGTCTTGGCGATCTACAATTCATTTTGACTTCCTGCTTGGTGTTTGTGCTGACATGCACTGTGGGACCGTTTATAGACAGGTGCGTACCTTTACAGATCCAATCCACTGAGTTTACCACAGGTGGACTCCATTTAAGTTGTAGAAACAGCTCAAGGATGATCAGTGGAAACAGCATCTGCGCTCCATTTGGAGCTTCATGGTAAAGACTGAATACTTGGGTAAATGTGATTTAAGTTTTCTAGTTTTATAAATTTGTAAATCTCTTTTCGCATCGTCCTAATGGGTTTTTGTATGTAGCATTTTGAGGACAGAGATTAATGTAATACAATCTGGAATAAGGCTGTAACATAAAATGTGAAGAAAGTGAAGCGCTGGGAATACGTTGTGGATGAGCCGAATGATGCTAATCATGGAAAACACCGTAGAACAGCTAAGTTAGCATCAGTGCTAATTGTTGGCGAGCTGCTTTTGATCAACAGGATTTTAAACACATGATTGTTTCAAGTTTTGAGATTAAAGAAGTTATTGATAAACTGGTTGCAGCCCCTTGAATCATAACTAAATTGAACAGTGAGGTGTCTACAGAGCCCGCTTCCAGTATTCATACTAAATTATATGTTTGCTGCTCAAGGAGGAAGAATATCAGAAGGAAAATTGTGCTTTAACAAATAAAGTTGTGGAGCTCAGAACTTCTTAGAGGAACTGTTTTATTTTCATTCCTGATCAAAATCTAGGAAAGGTCATCACTGCTCCAAACTCAGCTGCTTCTTTTAAACTTTACTAGAATCAGAGCTAAAGCCACTCGTCTCACCCAAAGACAACATCTAGTGCGTCGAACTAAAATTAATTCTAACGTCTAAAACACTTAAGTTTTGAATCCCTTAATCAAAACCAGGACAGAGACAATCAGTAAATGTTGCCCACCTTGCCGATGACAAAGATGTTGGACAGTCTGGTAGCGAAGCTGTTGCCTGTGCTGTCCTTGACGTGCACAACGTCAAAGGAGCCAGGGTGGCGCTCCCTGTTGGTGATCACACCGATACGCCCCAAGTTAGCGCCACCGGTCACCATGCACAGGTTACCTGGAGGAACGAGAGCGGGTCGGAGACAACTGATCAAAAACAATCGATTAGCAGGAAACGTTCAGCGCACGGCAGCAAGCTCCACCCACCAGTATCAAACTTGATGAACTCTGTGATCTTGCCAGTCTCCAGGTCGATGCGGATGGTGTCGTTGACCTTGATGAGGGGGTCGGGGTAGCGGATGGTGCGGGCGTCGTGGGTCACCAGGTGAGGAATCCCCTTAGTGCCAATGAGAATTTTCCTCACCTTGCACAGCTTGTACTGCAGACAGGTTGAAGAATGTAACAGGTGCTCGTCCTGGTTCTACGTTCAAGACTCTCTAAAGTAGGACTTTATTTCACTTCCAGAACTGATCTTCAAATTAGCACAAATTGACATTAATTCTAAACTCACTCTCACCACAGGAAACGTACCGTCATTTCTGGACTACAAGCTGCTACTTTTTTCACACACTTTGAACAATGTGGCTTATACAATGCTGCCGCTAATTTATGGATTTAAAATTTTTATTTTGATGGGCTATTGAGCTTCCTGCCACCAAAACATTTCGCCTCATTACAATCAGGCGCTCACATAGCTGCCCAATACACGTCTCTGTTCGTTTATCACGGACTCGCTTTATCACGGTTTTTCAAAATAATATTGGACGACACACAATTGGCTGCCTGATGGATGAGCTGCACGACTGGATTTATTTAATCAATTATTTTAAAAATATTTAGCACCTACTGCATATTTCTGCAGCCCATACGGCAGGATAAACTTTCTGCTGCAGCTGATCAGCTGTTCATCGTGCAGAGCTGAGAAGTGGGCGTGGCCAAGAGCGCTTTCAGGTGGCAAAGAGCAGAGGAGGCAGGGAGCTGAAATCATGACATGCTGTGCTCTTTTAGAGCATTTAAGAGTTTACAAACATTGTTTATAATATTGCAAGAGTGAGGGAAGCATTTAAAATGCATATCCATATACATGTATGCATATCCATATACATGTATGTATATATATATATATATATATATATATATATATATATATATATATACACACATACATACACATAAATACTAAAATAAACTACTACTTACTACATGTACTACTACTCCTACTTTGTGTTTTTTCACTTATCGCGGGGCTTCAGGGTACGGATCCCCCGCAATAAACAAGGGACTACTGTAAAGATTAAAAAAAAATTTTCACCAACAGGTATCAAAAGACTGCTGCGTGATGGAGGACAGAACAAGCTGTCCTCCATCCTCCTGCGCAAGATAGCCATTAATGACTTCCTGATAGGCTACTGTATTTTTTTAACCAGCTGTGTTTCAGGCACTGTTCAGAAAAATAAACATTTACTGTACGTATTTGTGTATGTTACCAGCATGTATTTAATTAAAAGTTTTTTAAAAAAATCTTTGTGTAAATATCTCATGTTACAATGTGGACACTTGCAGCTTAGACAAGCGTAACCTATATATGCAATTTTTTAAGTAGGCGTGGCTTATATTCGGGTTTGCTTAATAGTCCATAAATTACGGTACTCTAGCTTTCACAGATGATTCATAATAAAACTTTAATAACTTGTAATAAGCAACAAATCCAAATTTAGAGAATAGATCTTTAGAAAATCAGCGCTTGTTTTCGTTTTCTTGCCCTCTGAGCATTTTTATCAAAAAAAGTCTACATGAACAAGATTTTATATCAGGCTCAAATATGTAATTATTCACCAGCTTAAATCAGTACTTTTGAACTTTTCCCACACACAAAATCATGTTTTTACTTCTTAGTCACCCAAGTTCAACATTGTCACATTTTTAATATATGCATTTTTAAATCCACAACTGCAGGTGAACTAATTTTTAGATGCAGACAAAGAGGCGGCTCTCACCTTGGACTCCTCGGCGGTGATGCGGTGGACGGTGAAACGTCCCTTCACATCATAAATGAGACGGAAGTGCTCACCGGTCTTCTCGATGCTGATAACGTCTGTGAACACAAACGTAAACATGTGATTTTAGTGCTTGTATTTTTTCCATTAAACACTCAACCCTTTCATGTTTCACTAACATGTTAAATTACAAATATAATAAACATGAAAACAAATTTTAAGCCAAATATTTTACTGTAATGAGTTGGTGAGTCACCAGCTAACCATCTAAAGATACGTTTTAAATTATTAGCGTTAAAATGCTGACTCAGAGTAAGCCAAAAGTACAATCTGGAAGGTTTTGGAGCAAGCACAATACAAGTAGGACATCACAAAAATATAAATTTTACTCCTTGCCTGCTGCTGTTTTTACTGCCATTTGGAGCCAAGCTACTCTGGTAAACATCTGGCTGCTAATAAACTACTGACATATTTACACCCACCTTACTGGATGCAGAATTTTGCAAACAGATTCACAAGAGTTACTAAAACTGTAGAGGAAGCTTTATAATGTACTGATTAAAAACAACTTCGCAACCAAACATTTCTAATAAACAAAATGTGAAACGTTTATGCTGGAAATATCTTTTAAATAAAGTTGGAATGAGCTAAATCAGAACTGGGCTGGTGGGAGTTAATCTAAATTAAGGAATTGTCTACAAATGTACCATCTGTGCATATTTACTAAAATAATAAAAAAGGATCCTACACAATAGCTCCGAATTGTGCCGTCACTGACACCAGAACCCATTTATAGGACGTCAAGTCCCAAGAGACGGAACTAATGAACAACAGTGTGTTAATGAACAGGTTGTCTCACAGCTGAACATGCTCCATGTGCTCAGGTGTGAAGTTAATTTAATACGACACTGTGAGGATCTTTCAACAGATCATATGAACAAAAGATATGCAACATTATTTTCAGATGGATACAAATCACACAAAACCAAACTGACAATAAAACAGAATTTAAATTACAGTCATTTAATACATTTAGCTGCCAACACATCAGTGATTTGTTTGTTAATCCTGGCTTCCCTTGGACTTGGACTAGCTAATTAAAATGTTAAACCTTCATATTAGCTGCAGGACAAAGAGAAAACCCAAGACAGCTCCAGAGGAGATGACCCTGTTGTTTAAGTCTTACATTTAACCCTGCGTTCAGCTTTACTGACAGACATGCAGGATTAGAAACAAAAAAGATTACTAGTTTATATAACGCCTACAAGGATTTTTACTTTAATTTAATACTAATGTAAAAGCCAATGAGATGATTTGTAAAAAGTTAAAATGCACTTTAAAGCAGTTTAACACCTGTTCAACCTAAACTGTAAGCATCTTTATTATATGAAGCAGCTGCTGTGGTCTAAATCAGAGGTCCACACCCTGGACCCACGTGGTCTACAATCTTAAATGTTTCAAGTTTCCCTGCTTTAACACACCTGACTCAAATTAACTAGTCAATAAGAGATTCTGCTACACCTAACAACTTTCTGATCAGGTAATTCAATTATCTGCATCAGGTGGGTTGACTAAAACAGTGGCCCACGAGAACCAGAGTTGGGGACCTCAGGTCTAAATTAACCATCTATCAAGCATCAAGCAGTTTTGAGCTCAATCGGAGGAAAAAACAACATTTAAACTCAAATTGAATTTACCAAATGACACACAATGAATGATGGACATGGTTTTGTTTTATATTATTTTATATTAGTTAACTGATTGAAACGAATGAAAAACTTTGGACCCACAGTGGCTCCACATCAAGCAGCTCATCAGCTCGACGATTCAGCAGAACTACAGCGGACACAGTGTGGGTGGAGCTGGGCAACAAGATAATGTGCCCAGAATACAGTTTTGCATGCTGTGCACACAATAACCAGGAACTATAAGAACTGGCTGCTTGAAACATGATTACTGGCTTACTGGTTTATAGGATGTAAAACTCAAATTCAGTAGGGACCATGACTGAAAACGTGTACTTTTACTAGAAAATTTGAGTCGACAACGAACTTCCAACAGTTGCAGCACCGCGAGATACCACTTTAAATTATTTGACCTTAATTACAAGAGAAACTTTTGGCATCACTTCCAGCCGGGTCATGTGACAACTCACTGGTAGAAATTTGTGACGTTAAATATTACTACTCAAGGATTCAAGTTTTTTAATTGTTATTGCATGTGGTGGAACGAAATTATGTACACAGGGTCCCAGTAACATCCAACAAATGTATAAAAATGTAAAAGAAAAACAGTAATAAGATCTAAGATATGAACTAAGAAAATGTTAACTAAAAATACACTAAGCATTAATAGCATAAAAACAATAAAGCCTAAATATTTAAACTGTTTAAAGTTACAGTAATTATCTATTAAACAAAGGTATGAAGGCAACACACAGCCATTAGAATTTTATTTAATCGATTAACGACTCCTATTTTTTTTTAAATAATTTATAACATTAGCTATAACTTGAGCTTTATTTGATTGTGGATATTTTCTCATGACCCACAATAAAGGTCCTGACTAGGTGTCCCAATATTGGCATCGGGCTGGGTACAAACCTTAAGTGCTCGTACTTTAGAATCAGAATAAGCTTTTTTTTTTATTATCATTGAACCAAAATACAGTGAGAGTATGTTCGTACAGTCGTCTGAAAGATTGGCAGCGTGAACGTTGCTGCTGCTGCTCAAGAGCGAGGATAGTGGTATTACAAAAAAAGATCTCTTCACGCCTTGTCCTCATCAGGACACGATTTAAGACATTTACTCATAAACACACGGATACTTAAAACCAATTACACGTTTATGCTTGAAGTCATTTCCTCTTCCAGTGTGCAAGAAAAAATGTTAAAATATAAAAAAAATGTCTATAGTTTGGCTATTTTTTAAAGATAAACCAAGGTGATGTCAGCAGACTGATGCTGTGTTCTGAATAAAAGATGTGTTTCTTAAGTCATTACATAATAATTAGGCACTAACCCCTTAACTACTTAACAGTATTCAGTATCGGCAAGTACCCAAACTAAAGAACCTGTATTTGTCGGGGAGACACTAGTATCAGGACAACCCTAGTCCTAACCAGATTTTGTCAGTAAGCAACGTTTAAAACATCCAGAGTGATCTTTAATAGCAGCTATCACAACCAAAAGGAGAAAGCACTAAAAACAAAGTGCACTCTATTTAAAACACTAAAACAAATCACAAGAACTAAGCAGCATGTCTCAAATGTTTTAATATAAAACATTAAAAATGGAGCTCAGAACTTCTTAGAGGAATTACTTGTGTAATTTCAACTCATTTCTGATCAAAAACAAACAATTCATCACAGCTCCTCTCCTGCTGAACTGTAAAAGTGAACATTCAGACCTAATGCAAAAACTTGCTTTTTTTTTTTTGTAGATTACTACAAATTCTTTGCAACTCCCATTGAACTACTCATAATTAATGCAATGTTTTTAGAGGGAAACAAACAGATCATCCTCACCCATAAATCCCGCAGGATAGGTGACATCGGTGCGCACTTTGCCATCGATCTTGATGAACCTCTGCATGCAGATTTTCTTCACCTCATCCCCCGTCAGGGCGTACTTCAGGCGGTTCCTCAGGAAGATGATGAGGGGCAGACACTCCCTCAGTTTGTGGGGACCCGTGGAGGGACGAGGAGCCTGAGAAGAGACAAAAATAAAAAGATGAAACCACAATTGATAACTTTTGTATTCAGCCTGGTTGAATAATCCCTACTAATCCAGATCAGACATGAAATTTGACAAGATGGTTTTATACATATTGCTCAGTTTAATCTACAACCTATTTCAGGCATATAAGGTTTATATTGAATTACTTTTAAAACCCAATGTTTTAATAGAGGGTATTCAAACAAATATTTAAATCTGAGAAGCTAAGTAATAAAAGTTTACCTTGCGATGCCATCAAGAGTTTGCAATTTTACGACATGGAACGGTACTTTTACTTACAAACACTCCGGTGAGTTTGTCCAGCATCCAGTGCTTCGGCGCCGCGACGCGCTTCAGGTGCTTCTTCGGTCCTCGAGCCTGGACAGGAGGGGACACAGCCAGTCAACAACAAAAATATTCCTCATTCCATAGGCTAGAGGCATGAAATGAAGCCTAATCTGCGTTTAAACCCGGAGTACAGCGTGCGAGAGCCTAAATATGAGATGCTTTGTCGGTGCAGCCTGGTTAGCATGCTGTGCTAAATGTAGCCGGCTAACTTAGCCGGCTGCGGCCTGGTCTCGCAAACACCGCCACATATTTAAATTACAGTTTACATGTCACTTTTTAGGTTTAACTTCATATGCTGAAGAAACCATTATAAAACTAATCTGGTGCACAACTCCCACTACTTCACCAGTTTGCCTGTCTTCATGCTAAGCTAACTGTGAATGAGAAGCGGCGTTAGGTCATTTTAAAATATCATTTCGTGACAGTAATCACTACTGTCGTCGACAATATAAATCTCCAACTTTAATTAACACGTTGTATTTCAAAGTAAGATGGATATTTGTGTGATTATTCGATAGCTAAGTAGGATGTTTATAGATCGTTTCTGAGTAGATCGGTGAAGAAATTCAGCTCACCATGTTGGAGTCTGCGGGGAAAAGGACGGCTCGTTGGTTTCCGGTAAAGAATGACAAGACTCCCTACGGCAGGTCGGCAGGGACACAACTGATGAAAGGCGAAATGAAAAATCGTTCAAGTTTGTGTTTTGTTTATCCCTAATTACTCTATATATTATTGTTTATTTTTTACTGACTTGTTAGCTGTAAAATAATAAATGTGTAATCTGTAAAATAGTTTTTTTTTAGTTTAATTATTTATTTTGGGCATTTGAAAAAGTTGTTCTACATACATACATTTTTTATGCGTATTTTATTAACGTTGGATAAATACAAATGGAGAAATCAACAATTAGGAAGCACAAGCTAATGTGTTTCTTGTGCTGGACCCAAGCCGGGGTAAATAGTGAGGGTTGTGTCAGGAAAGGCATCTGACATAAAACAGTTTTGCCTGTACTAATAGGAGTTCATCAAAGCGACGCCATACCAGATCAGTTGAGACCCGGGTTAACTATGACTGCCACCGGTGCTGTTGATTAACAGGGTGCTGGCGGAAATTGTGCTATTGTTAGTCAAAGACCACGAGGAGGGAAACGTGTCAGTAGAAATGGAAAGTCAAGAAAATAAGACTGAGGGTTGCTACTCTAAATGTGAGGACAATGATGGGCAAAAATAGAGAACTGGCTGACGTGATGCAGAGAAGGAAGGTAGATGGTTTATGTGTCCAAGAGACCAAGTGGAAGGGCAGCCAGGCTCTGGAAGCAGCGTGAAACCAGGAAGGACAGATATTGGCAGATTTTGACAAGAGAATGGAAATGCATGTAGTCAACACTTATTTCCAAAAAAGAGAGGAACATAGAGTGACCTATAAGCGTGGAGGAAGGAGTATGCAGGTCGAGTACATTCTGTGTAGAAGAGAAAACCTGAGGAAGATTGGGGACTGTAAGGTTGTGGCAGAGGAGAGCGTGGCCAGACAGCATCAGATGGTTGTGGGTAGAATGACTGTTGTGAAAAAGAGAAAGAGTAAAATCAGAGAAGACCAAATAGTGGAAACTGAGGAACGAAGAATGTTGTGAGGAGTTCATAGAGGAGCTGTTAAAGGCTCTGGGTGGTAAGAAAGAGCTTCCAGAAGAGAGGAGACTGGATATAAGGAGATGAAATGTAAATTAAAGAGGGAGGTAGCAAATGCAAAGCAGAAGGCATATGATGAGTTGTATGGGAGGCTGGATAGTAAAGAGGGCGAGAATGAATTGGCAAGACAGCGGGATCAGGCTAGAAAGGATGTGCAGCAGGTTAGGCTTGTTAAAGATAGGAATGGTAATGTTCCAACAATTGAGGAGAGTGTGACAGGAAGATGGAAGGAGTACTTTGAAGAGCTAATGAATGAAGAGAATGAAAGAGAAAGAAGAGTAGAGGTCATAAAAACTGTGGTCCGTGAAGTGGGAAAGATTCATGATGGTGAAGTCCGTAAAGCTCTGAAAAGAATGAATACATGGAAGGCAGTAGGACCTGATGACATACGAGTGGAGGTTTGGAAATGTCTTGGAGAGATGGCAGTGATGTTTTTGACTCAAATATTCAATGGAATATTTGAGGGTGAGAAAATATCTGAGGAATGGAGAAGAAGTGTGCTGGTGCACATTTTTAAGAACAAGGGTCATGTACAGAGTTGTAGCAACTACAGGGGAATTAAGTTTATGAGCCACACGAAGAAGATCTGGGAGAGAGTTGTGGAAGCAAGACTTAGACAAGAGGTGACCATCTGTGAGCAGCAGTATGGTTTCATGCCAAGAAAGAGCACCAGAGACGCCATCTTTGTTTTGAGGATGCTGATGGAGAAGTACAGAGAGGGTCAGAAAGAACTCCATTGAGTCTTTGTGGATTTAGAAAAAGCATATGACAGAGTGCCGAGGGAGGAGGTGTGGTATCACATGAGGAAAGCTGGAGTGGCAGAGAAGAATGTTAGACTGGTACAGGACATGTATGAGGACAGCTGGACAGTGGTGAGATGTGCTGTAGCAGTGACAGATAAATTCAAGATGGGAATGAAAGTCAGCAGTAGTAAGACAAAGGACATATGTGTGAATGAAAGGGAGGCTGGTGGAACAGTGAGGCTACAAGGAGCAGAGGTCACAAAAGTGTAGGACTTCAAGTACTTGGCGTCCACTGTCCAGGAAAATGGAGAACATGGTAAAGAGGTGAAAAAGAGAGTCCAGGCAGGATGGAGTGGATGGAGAAAGGTTTCAGGAGTGATTTGTGACAAAAGAGTGTAAGCAAAGGTCAAAGGAAAAGTTTACAAGACAGTGGTGAGACCAGCTATGTTGTATGGTCTGGAGACGGAGACATGGACAAAAAGACAGGAGAAAGAACTGGAAGTGTCAGAAATGAAGATGTTGAGGTTCTTCTTAGGAGTGACAAGGATGGAAAAGATTAGGAATGAGATCATCAGAGGTACAGCACAGGTTGAACTGGGAGATAAAGTTAAGGAGGTCCAGACTGAGATGGTTTGGACATGTCCAGAGAAGGGACAGTGGGTATACTGGTAGAAGGATGTTAGAAATGCAGCCGCCAGGAACAAGACAAAGAGGAGATCTATGGATGCAGTTAGAGAGGACATGGAGGTAGCTGGAGTGAGATGGAGGAGGATGACTCGCTGTGGAGACCCCTGAAGAGGGATAAGCTGAAAGAAGAAGGATAAATACAAATGGAGCCAGAACATGTTTAAAATTTATTTAATTAAGTAAATTAGTAAATTAATGTGCAATAGATAAAAAAAAACAACAACAATAGAGCAGGTAATACATGTCAAAGATTCAAATTAATAGATTTTACTTTAATGCCCTGAGGTTCAGTATTAAGCCACATCTTGAACTACTAACTTGTAGTTAATGGTATATTAACTATAACTTTTTACTTTTTACTATTAACTTTGTCGTGTTGTACAAATAACGCTTCAAAAAGATCTGACCAGTGTTCCCTTTTAAGGAAACAATAAATGACAGCTGTACACACTCACCACCAGAGGGCAGCATAGTACAGTGTCCAAAAGTCACACAGCAATAAAACTCTCACAGGTGCTTTATTTAACACGAGCCAGAAAAATGCGCTCAACACAAGTTTAATTTTATGTGGAAATTATTCAAACGCCAAAAATTTACATAATAAAAAAAAAAAAAAACTACTCGGAGTTTCTTTTTCTTTTTTTTTTTTTTTTTTTCAGTTTCAATTTCAGTTTCTTTAACTGAATTTGATTTTCACATGTGCAGTGAAAGGCCTCATTTTTCTGCATGAAGCCTGATGCTTCCTTCCAGAATCTTTAGTGCCAGTCTTGTCTTTTTAAGATCAGCTAAGCTCCTTGGGTTAGCAGATAGTCAATAAATAGTTAACCTAAAGGAATATTAATATTTTGGATAAGTCTATGTAGAAGTTGTTGGAGGAACTTACGACCACATTGACGGGAAAACTCTCAGATCATAAGAACGAGGAGATTATCACCATGAAGTCACGGATGAACAGACGAATGGACGACATACACACACGTCAGTTGTTTTGTTTGTTTCTTGACATGATAATTCAGAAACATCAAACAGTAGCACTCCCAGTAGACTATCCTTTTGATTTTGTCAAATAACAATGTCATAAAGTTGCAATATTAGTGTTTGCATTAACCTCTAGGGAACTTTAATATTTTATTTTCGCAGCATTTTCTCAGTCAGACAGTCCTGTAGGTCCTAAACTTCCTGTTGTTCAAAG